CTCCCTCTCGAAATGCCTTCACATAGACACGCGTGTATAGCATCTCCCAAGGAAGTCCTACTCACTGCCTTCTCGTGGCATTACTGTTGTTTACAAAATTGAGAGGATGAAAAGCGAATGTCCGGCGCTTTAACCGGGTTGGTGGACACGGCGAGTCCACCCAGGGGAGTTGGAAAACCTTGATTCCAAAAACAAAGGTGTACATCGGCTCCAGTATCCTGAAGGAACAAATGGTGTATGAATCAATTGTTGGTCACCGGCTACCATGGAACTGCATTTCCTCACGATGCTCCATTGCCTTATGGATCATATTCTTTAGGTCAAAGGCTTGGGGTGTGGCCCCTTAAGAAAACCATCTGCTTCGATTTGGGCACCTGGGCAGTATCACAGCCCTCATACAAATCAAATGAGATTTGCGCGGAGCATATGTATCTGGTGCCCCTTTGTACCGATATTTATGTGTTCAAATGAATAAATAAATATAGTCTACTACAATCAATCTTGACATCCCTCACTTTGAAGCTCATTATGACTGACCAATTCACTGTACTTACGCCAGTTTACTTTCTCATGTAGAGCTACTTACATAAGTGATTTTTCAAGGGCACTTGTCCTGCGTATTGTAAAGAAGCCCTCCCCCCCAGAATAGCGTCATTTAATCTATAATATTTAATAGAATCAACTTCAAATTGATCATTGATATAATTCAGTCAATTATCTCTAGTTAGATAGACCCAAATGTAATTTATTTTCGTAGTTGAAAGCATGAGTCAATTGAAGCTAGAGCACAATGGAAAATCTGGAAGCACTGCACAGACGTTTTGTCCTATTGTGGGACTCCTCAGCTTTCAACTATGAAAATACTGAAATCTCCACAAAACCCCTTCTAATAATAATAATAATCATATACTCACTATTGACTGACTTCAAGAGGTATTTCCTGGAGTTCTAGTGAGAAGCAGTGACCAGTGGAGTTCAACCACGTCTGTTTTGAAATAGGAACTCACTGATGACAATTGGTGAACGGTTGCTCAAACTTCATGGATTGGTTGAAGTTAGACATTAACATCATCGGATGCCGGCCAACTCAGTGGTCTATCGGTTAAGTGCTCTAGCGCGACACTGATAGGTCCTGGGTTCGAATCTCGCTCGTGAGGTGGGATCGTGAATGAACACTGCTGAGGAGTCCCACATTAGGACAAAACAGCCTTCTATGGTGGTCTAGCTTCAATTGACTCATGCTTTCAACTATGAAAATACTGAAATCTCAACAAAAACGCCTTCTGATAATAATTTATTTTATAAAAGCCTTAACAATCCACAATTTAAAATTTAGATTGTGTAAAAAAACAAACAGTATATTGAATGCTACCCATTACATTAGTTTTAATATTTCACTCTTACATCTATAAAAAAAAACTACTTCTATGTATTACTATCATTGTAAAAAGCTTGTTGTTGTTGTTGTTTTATTTTGTGCATAGAATTATTGATTGTTAGTCACTACTTTATGTCACCACTTAATGACGCTTTGTTTACGCTATAAATAATCAATCAAAAAAAAAATTTTTTTCTCATGTTTCATTAATTCAATCTATCAATAGTTAATTGTTTGTCAAAATTCATATTCATATTGAAACAAACACACAATTGATCATTTTGATGAAGTTTTACATCACGAGATGATCTTAATAAATGAAAGAAGAAAAAAACAACGCACTGAGAACCAGAAAGCACTGGACAGATTTTACATCTTAGTCAGTCAGTCAGCTACAACGTAGAACCAGGCACATTTATGCATCGGTTCAAGTTGCCATACCTCGTTAGCACAACAAGATGAACACCGGATTCATAAAAGTAGTTAAGTCAATGGTGGTAGTATATCAAAGATAGGTTGTATATAAGGATATAGTATAGGAAGGAAGGAAGTTATGAAGCAATTTTAATCTCAATGTTTAAGGGAAGATAAAGAGTGTATACACCTACGCCATTGTGATCGATTCTGAGCCATGTTACCTAGAGTCTCCAACCATTGGTTACGATAGTCACGCGGACCCCGACCAGGTAGTCTGCATCTGCCAACATGACTCAGACTAGGAGTTAGTGGCTTCAAGCAATTCACTACATCAATAGGCATCGAACTCAGTTAGTTTTTAGACACATTCTGACTATTATAAGTTTTATTCTAATCACTGATTGTTCAATTGTCTAGAAAATGTCTTAATAAATTTTGTCGGATCTTCAAATAGTTGTCTTTATCTGGTCATTGAACGCTGTAACCGGATAATTTCGCGTTAATATGTCATATCACTTACTAGCGACCAGAATAATTTGGATATCAACTACCGGTTTTTTTAAAGCAAGGACTCTACAATAGCGTTAACCCCGAAAGATGAGTCACTATGATATAACGAGGTTATTGTGGCTTAAAAAATTGCCTATTAGGTGTTCTTGATTCAAATATGAATTTCAGCATACTGATTGATATATCGCGTCGAAAAAAAATCATTGTACTCTTTTCATTGGAATATATACTTACAATCTAATGAGAAACTTAGCAATTTCTGAAAAATTTATTTCATTAACTTATTAAAATCTAAAAGATCCATAAGTAATTTCACTACGTTCAAAAACTTACACATGCGGTTACGTCCCTGATCTGTCTACCCACTTTCGTGCCGACGATAACTTTTCTAATGTATATTAAGACCTTGACGCGATAGGCTTACTGGCTTAACCTTGAGGCTACTATGCGTGAGTTCGTAGTGGGGGTAGAGAGACGAAAACTATTCTATCTCTGATTAGCTGACAAGCACGCGAGAGAGAAAAGACAAGACAACTGGAACACTACTCGCTTTATTCCAATTCCGATTAGTGTAAAAAGATACATGAATAAATAGATAACTAACCTGACCACAACGTACAATAATTAGGAAAATACAATTATGTAGAGTAGAAAATAGAGTACAAAAGGTCACGTCTAAATTACAATAGCTATGGAACAGAAAAGGCTATGGCAGTGAATCATACATCAAACGAAAGCTTATGATCTGTAGAATAGACTAGGGTAAAAATTAAATGTTAGTTTTACAGACTTTGAATTAAATGAAATAACGTACCCCAAAAATAGCTTCCGTAGTTTGTTAAGGCTTCTTGTTTCGCTCTTCACATCATATACTAACGAATTTAAATGATCAGAAGATTGAAGAGTTTATAATTGGGCTACAAACACATCAAGTAGTGCAATTTTGAAGATCAACTGTAAATTCAGTTTGATTAATATAACCTGCTTAAGTGAGTGCACTTAGAAAGTTGATCAAGTACAGTTTCCAAGATATGAAATCCATGTGAGACCTATGGGGATACGTAATTTGAGATTCATGAGAAAATTCAAGTACTTTACTAGGTCACTTCATATAGGTGAATTATTCAGGCCGTAACAATGTCTGATTGTTTGGCAATAGCTCTAACATTTATAGACGAATAACAAATGAAATGTTCGTTAAGCCAAGTAGCAGCAGCAAACTTAAAAAGTTACCCCTGATATATAACGAAAAATCCTCTGGATATGAGGTCGCTCAATATTAAACCAGTGTCGCAGCCGTCCACTACATGTAGATAAAGCTCTGAGTCTCCACATATAACTCGGAACTGACACCACACACTTACAGAGGACTTGATTATCCACAAATTGATTATATTATTTCTGGAAACAGTAGTATACCTGTCAGGCATTTCCAAGACTTAATTGCCAATGCAGATCTTCCATACCAAAGGTTTTAAAGTGCTCAACGGTGCTCTAGTAATTGCTGAAATTATCTAGTGCTTCACATACTAGTTTTAAAATTTGACTGGAGATACCACAAAAGTAATTACACTTACATGCTTATACTGTTATTCAGAGGCATGTACTGTCTGTTCTTCAAATGAATTTACTAAGTATCGAATGACCCGCCTCAATACTACTCTTAAGAAGCTTATCGTCGCTGTTGCTTGATGACTGTGAACAGACACCCAGCACTAATATAAGCCAAGATATTTTCAACCGACTTCAAACATTTGACGTGGATTTCGCGAACGTTTATCATCAAACTTCCCTCATTAAAGACTTGCATTACTCAAAAGCTTAATACCTCGTCTGATAAAATAAGATCATTATCATACCCCAACCAAGTTGTTCGTCAGCAGTTCCCTATAACGTTGTGGACATTATCGTTGACAGCTTAACAATTCCAGTCCTGAACATACTATCAAGTAAAAGTCACACATGCGCGTTACCAGTTAACTAACAGCTGCAAATTATTGGGTTTAACCAATGCCGATTACTTGAATAGAATTTTTGGTTGTTATTAATTTAAAAATACGTTGTTGAACATGGTAGATGTCACAAATTATCCAGATTCATGTGAAGTAACTGGCTTAAAATCAAACAAAGCAGGCACAATCTTTATCACCATTCGTACACTGAGTGATCGTTTTCATAGATATCCGTAGCCGCCCTAACCGGCAGCTCCACAAACCATACCAGGATAGCGATAATGAAACCAATGTTTCATAGTTATTTCATGTATTTCAGCAAGTGATCAGGTCAAAGATATCACGCGCGAATGAGAATGTGCTAAAGTGCCACGTCGTTCTACAGGATAATCCGTTATATGGAGCGCACAAGCCGAAGTATGTATACTGGTTCCAGTTGCCGCGTAATATTAAAAGCGAGATAAAACAATTGAGGAGAATTCCAGAGTAGTCGAAGTAGCAACAGTACTAGTGATAGAAAAGATTAGGCACTTAAAATATGAATGGATATGGATTAGTGAGATAGTATAACACAATAATTGAGTAACTAATTAGTACATAAGACCCTAGAATGCTTTCAATGGATACAGATCTCGCCTTCATATTGGTCACGCATTGCGGTTCACTGTAACCAATTTTTGGGCGTAATCATAGATCCTTAATGTTAATCGTTTCTTTTTTATAGAACACAAAACATGAAGATTAGTAAAAACTGAAAGTTTATATTTTACAAATATTGTAGGTTACAGACGGCAAACACTGGAGAAGTCATCAAATATCAGTAATGATCTGCAAGAAGTTCACAAATAACATACAGCTGATAACAAATTAACATACGCTGAAACCTTAGTTGCAATAACCAATAAAAACAGCTACTTTGTTGCGATGACAACTCTAATGAGCCCTGATTTAAAAATGATTGTCGAAAAAAGTATGCAGTCTGATACCATACTAACAACCAGACAGTAACATCTATCTCGTAAAGCCTTGCAGAAAGTATAAAGCTTTATATATATATATATATATATATATATATATATATATATATATATATATATATATATATATATATATGAACAATGAAGTAATTAATTAAAGACATGTCTTGTATGTACAGTGCTACAATAAAACCTAAAATTTAATGCGGAGACATTTGTTTCTCATTATCGAGCTCCGAAATAGCCATATAACAAATATAACCACAAGAAATTCAAAGTTATCTTAACAATAATTGTGAGCATAAACGTTTGATACATTGTTTTTATAATTAAGTAAATAAGTAGAAAGACATGAACGGTTAGAAAGAATTAATGCCCAAACACCCTAAAATGTTAGATTTGAGTCAGAAAGATTAAAATTGGCCGCTCAAAATTAGTAAAGGTTGATGTATGTAAGAGGCGTTCGACTTAACTAAAGCAAGAATAACGCTGAAATCTATCCTGTTCTGCCAAAAGGAACCTGAGTGCTGCCAGCGGTGGCGTTGCCAGAGTGTTCTACATTAGCCTCACCTTCAGGGGCAGCACTTGTACCAGGAGAATTTGGAAGAGCTTGTATACGGTTACCAGTGTCCTCATTAAGTGTAGATGAAGTACCAGCAGGACCTCTTTGTTTAAGTATAGTCCAATCGAAAACGTAATCGAACTGATGACTCATTGTTCTAAATAAAATACGGAATAACTGGCGAAGATACATATAGTCAGGTGTCTCATCGAATCGCAACCCTCGACAGTAGTTCAGATACATCTGAAATTCGGCGGGATAACCTTTGCATAACACTTCAACAGGTGTTGACATCTTTTTCTCGCTAATTCTTTCGTATTTTTGACGTTTTGTGGTCGCCTGAAAGTAAAAAGTAGAAATGTGATGATTTCTATTTATAGGTTACCATTAAAAACTACATCCAGTGAATAAATGTATCGAACTTACGCAGAAATTAATAATTCTTATGGTGGGATTCTTTAGAATCTCATAAATGAGAGCCTGGCAGTTTGGTTTTATACGTGTTATCTACGTAAGCTTAGTATAAGGAAACCAATAGATGAAGTTGCTTTCAAGAGCATATTTCCAGAATTTCGCATCACGAGAATTTCATTTTTTGTGATAGCAAAACAACTGGTCATAGAAGTGCAAACTTAGAGAGGTTACTTCAAGTGATAACACTAGATATTCGACGGTTCTTTACACAAAATGGTAGTCCTTACTTAATTGAAACGTTGGTTTAGACTAAGACAAAGGTAATTACGGTTTATCATTATATATTAAATTAGAAACTAATAAACTAAAGAGCAAGAAGCACGTCCCCACTTATTCGGCTACTAGCAAACCACTGCAAATTATGAGACTCCTAAAAACACTACTGATGAGAAGACTTACCACTTGTTTATAATAAAACAAGCTTGATGCATTTTAAGACTATAAATTATAAAGTTGTATCTCTGACTTTTGAAATCCTAGAAGTCCTATTTATGCAGATGAACTACATATCAAGTGGCAATTAAGTGCAATATATAACAGGTGTACTGGAAATAGTATTAGGATTATCTTTAGGTGAATCACCTAGTTTTTGACATATGCAAGTTTGTTTATAGAAAACCGAGGCAACCTGTTCTGCTGACCCTGAATAAACTTACAGATAATAATGACATCTATCTAGTCTTCACTGCGCAATTCACGTCATACCACTGCCGAGTCAGTCATATAAAACGTAGAAACCGAGACGAACGCACCCAGTTCAAGCTGCTACATCAGGCGAAATGAAACCGTGAAGATAAAAGCTAAAATTGGGATATCACTGATGGTAAGAAAGATTGAGCATATGGATAACAATACAAGACGTAACAATACTCATGAATAATGGAATTCTCGGAATGCTAGAAATGCGGTCAATATCGAACTATTTATATATATAAGACCAGAGAACTCCGGAATTTATCTTATTATGACATCGCTTATAGTACATAGTTTGAAGACACTTATTGATCCCCTTAAATTAGTTAATGCTCTTCATCATGAAGGTAGCTCCAGAATAATGCACTCTAATTACTTATGAACACCCTAGATTTTAAAGTTTAGGAATTTACAAAGACGATATAGTCGTTTAGTAAAGTCAGTCACCCACAACGTAGAACCAGGCACATATATCCATCGGTTTAAGTTGCCATACCTCATCAACACAAGATCAACACCGAATCCATGGTAGTTAGTTTAATGGTGGCAACATATAAAGGAAAGATTGTAAATAAGGATATAGTACAGCGAGAAAGAATATGAAACAATTTTAATCTTATAGTTTAAGGGAAAACAGAGAGTGTATACACCTACGCCATTGTAATCGATTCCGAGCAATGTCACCTACAGTCTCCAACCATTGGTTACGATAGTCACGCGGACCCCAACCAAGTAGTTTGCATCTGCCAATATGGCTCGAGCTAGAAGTTAGTAATTTTAAGCACTGATGCCACGTTTTGGTTTGACAGCCCCTTACTTTCTTCCAACCATCCCCAACACTAGTCAACATAGCGCGTCGTGGTAATCAGCGTTCAGGCATAAGTAACACGTGGCCAAACCATCTCAGATGATGAAGATCTACAACCTCACCAACTGATTTACCATCATTCCCTAATACCCTGTATCTAACCTCACTACTTACCCGGTGATCCCAGAAGATGCGAGCAATATTTCTAACACATTTGTGATCAAATACTATTAACTTACGTGTATCTTCTACCCTTACTGGCCACGTTTCGCAGCCGTAAAATAGATCAGAGAGAACTGCTACGCATTATACTTGTCCCTTAATTGATAGACGGATATCTCGCTTCCGCCATAGGTGACGTAAATTGGCAAAAGCCAAACGAGCTTTTTGAATCCGTGCTGAGATTTTGTCAGATATTAACCCATTAGGGCTGATCAGACTTTCAAGATAAGTAAAGTTGTCGAGGCGTTCGACTATTTCACTCCCTATCCTTAGTTCAGGCATTGACGCAGTTTACTCCTGGAGCAACAATTTACATTTAGAGTGGGAGGAACACACCTCAAACTACTTGGCATTTTTACACAGTGCTAACAAACAACTCTGCATTCTGTCAGTCTTTACCAAACAGCACTGTTATCTGAGCATACTAAGTCGATAAGTGGACCTAATGGTTGGAGATTAATTCCCGAAAATTCAGTTGACGAGTGTTATTTCTAGCAGTAGGTCTATGATCAAGTTGAACAAAAATGGAGATAGTGGACAGTCTTGTTGGACACAACTTGAGGTTGTAAAATCAGATGACAGTCCGCCATAAGCTCTCACTCGACTGGTAATGTCCAAGTGATGATCCTTCCCAAAGTTTATGTACTTCTGAGGCACATCTTTCAATGACACTGCCACAAAACCTCTCGGTCTACAGAGTAAAATGCTGCTTTAGAGTCAAGAAAAACTATCATTGTCGGACGCCGATAAACATGTCTGTGTTCTGAAACCTGACGAATAGCGGATATGTAGTCGATACAACCACAAGCTATATATTCTGAAGCCAGCCCGTTTTTCTTGCTTGATGATTATTGAGGTAAGTATTTTAGATGCTATAATAGTCAAACTAATCCCTCTATGGTTACCACAGGATGATTTTGATACTTTCTTATATATTGGAACAATTAGTGATTGCGATCAATCATATGGGATTACGTCCAATTCCCAGATTTTAGCCAAAATATTAGCTAACCTAATCGCTAAAATTGGACCACCATATTTAAATACCTCTGAAGCCAATTCATTTGAACCAACTGCTCTTCCTCATTTCAGATTAGCTATAACCTTTTGAACTTCAGCTAGAGTAGGGGACCTACTTTAATGTTCCATTCATACTGTTTGGGAATGGTGGGCAACTGTCGAATAGCCGAAGGCCAGCTTAACTGTCCTCTAAAGTGTTCCGACCATCGTTATAAGCGTCCGGGCTGAGAGCAGATGAGAATCTCTTCTTTTTCCGAGATTGCCTCGCTTACAACTGACTCTTTAATTCCTGTTTCTTTTCTGGCTAACGCCACCCTCAGACAGTTGGGGGCTATCAAATCCCTTAAACCATCCGTCAGACCATACATGATTCATTCCCAATCTTTCGACGATTATACCGAAGGCTGCATGTGCATTTGTTTAAAGAGAAATGAAGCCAATTATCAAACCGTAGGAAAATTCATTGACACTGTCCTGAGAAAAGCTATCCTTTGTTACACATACTACGCTCATGACGTTATATTAGGACCGAATGATATGACAATACCTGACGTGTCGGCTACTATAACTCAACAGGAGATTCTGACTAGGATCGGTACGGTAGCTCGAGTCCAAATAAGGTTCACAAAACTATAGGGAATGTCAGGACTAACCAGACAATGTGAAATGTAAAGCCGTGCCTTTAAGGCTGACGAGCTGTAAAAATATTAACTCAGTTTAATGACACGGGGCAGATCAGTTAGCTCATATGTACAATATATACGGAAAGACTAAACAATAATGTTACCCCTATTAAGCAACAGAAATAGGTTAAAAACGTGACAATTTGAGGTACCTACCCGTAAACCTTGCCAAGGCAAAGATCCACGATTAAAATACATCAAAACGTAGCCTAGAGACTCCAGATCGTCTCGACGAGATTGCTCTATGCCCAAGTGTGCATTAATACTAGCATATCTTGCTGTCCCAGTAAGGTTTTTGTCTTCTCTGTGGGAGGTAAGAGAAATGAATCCCAATTACCTATAACTGATGTGACGTCCTGTACGCACATCTCTGTAGCGTTTGGCTAGGCCAAAATCAATCATATACACCTTGTTGCAATGGCGTCCGATTCCCATGAGGAAGTTGTCAGGTTTAATATCTCGATGAATTAAACTTTTATTATGAACATTTTCAATCCGTGCAAGCATTTGATCAGCAAGCATTAATACGGTTTTCAGTGTGAACCGTCGGCAACAAAAGGTGAATAAGTCTTCTAAACTGGGACCTAGAAGGTCCATCACCAGAACCCAGTATGTTCGGCAAGTGCCGTACCATCTTAACAATTACAATAGCTTAATAACAACTCACCTCGCTTGAGGTATACCAATTGCACCTGCAAGCAGCCGGTAAACCTTGTGTTCGAACTGAAGCTGTGGATGTTTAGCGTATATATTTTCCATCTTGACTGCAACTTCCTGATAGGAAAAGAGAAAACATTCATATCATTACCAAGAACCCCAGTTATCAATAACCCAACATTGAGACACAAGATGATACCAATTACAGATACCGCTCGCAAAAAGTGTGGACTTACCTCACCCGTCAGTTGATTGACCCCCAGATATATATCTCCAAATGACCCCGAACCAATTTTTCGCATAAGTCTGTACTTGTCATTGACTAGGATATCTGTCCTCTGTCTGTTAACAAGATCCGCCATGTTTACCAACTATTTTCCCGGCCAAGTATGTAACAATCTATTCAAACACTATAAGCAATTCTCTCTCTTTGTCAGGCAGAAACAGCTGACAGGACGCCTAAAAACTTCATGTTTGTTGTGTAGCAGTAAATAAATCCCTAAAATATGTAGTTCTGTAATTCTTCAACGTTTGGTGCCGATCGCATTAGTCTTACTGGTCACACCTGCCTGAGGGCGCTCGGTCCCGGATCCACACCAGATCACAGGTAAGTACGCTGTCCTACTCATCCACTACGACCGTTGTTCAACTTAGATGAAACGCTTCTAGAGATATAGATAACCTTTCAAATATAACTTCGAACTTCCCTTCTAACTTGACAGGGTTGGCACACTTTGATTATAAAAGTGTTATTAGTGAAGGTGTTGTCAGGCTTTGAATACTTGTGGCACCTTCATTGGTGAGACCGACGTCATCCGGTGCACCAACTCATAAACTCTGAAGTCTGTTCGTCGCTGAAACACTATTTATTATTTTTCTAATTTTCATTTTTACACATTGTGATATTTTCTTCATGTTTTCGGATATTTTTTCTTGTTCATCATCGTACTTTATATTTATCATAATGGAACGGACTCCCAAGTTATTCAAGATTAAGACTCTTTTGCCTCTCTCATTTCAGCTAATGCCATTTTGGTCCAATAATATCGAAACCTGGTTCTGCTACATAGAAGCTGACTTCCACGAGCACGACGTGACAGGCCGGCATGCGCGATTCCCTTCACGATTTCAACAGGTGCGTCACACCCAGAATGTTCGCTGGTTATGGGTCGTAACCTTACGAAAATTTAAAAAAAGCTTTCCCTGGGCGTTCAGACCTGACTGATAGACAAATGCTAAATTAGATATTCCGCAACATCGAGCTACAAAATGGCTCAGCAACAGAATTGTTGCTATGTAAGCCAGAGGTCATTGGTCAACGGACCTTTGACGAGAGTCTTTTTAAATAGCTATTGTTATCCAAGCTTCCCAACAGGTACAGACATCGCTTCAAAATAACGCTGTGAACAAACTGACTGTATCTTCCGATCGGATTATGGAGACCACCAGAACTCCCAACGCCGAGGTTTATTGAGTGAAAGAAAAGCCGGTACCATAATACTTATGGTAAGTCATGTCGAAATTTCAGAAAATTCTGCAGTTTTTCGGGCTCCAAACCAATGGATACGAAAATTCTTTTATGAAACGTCCCAGCCGGTACTCGTTTACAACAACCGTAGCCGGCGAACATAGCCGTCTGTAATACATCACTAATGAGATGGTGAGAGTTCGCTACTTGGTCGACACCGGCGTAGAGTTTAGCATTCTTCCAGAAAATACAAAAGAACGACTATACGAATCAAGTTTCAACTTACAGGCAGAAAATGCGAAACTGATTGCCACATGTGGTAAGAGTTATGTTCAACTTAACGTAGGGGTTACGTAAACCCGTTCATTAGATTTTCGTTGCTGCAGAAGTTTCCATTCCGATCATGAGCATGGACCTGTTACAAAACCACAGGCATGTAGTGCCCTACTTTTGTGACGAGGACAGGATTGGTATAATGGAAACAATTATTATCGTAACCAATTATACCAGTGATTATTTTACTGTACTTGTTTGTTTGACTGTACAAAAGACACTTTTTCTTCCGTTGCCTGTGACCTTACACGAACTTGCTTATGCTGGGCAGTTCGGCTTGTAAACTTTGACATGTCTCGGTATTCTTTCGATACCACGAGATCGCCAACAAATATATCTTATTTCAACCATTAACAGCCTTCTGGTTTTTGGCCTACACAGGGAACAAGGTCGATATTTGGCACGCAATCTTCCTGTACTGTTGATCATAGTCAATAGCGACTCGACGCCATTTACAGGCTACTTAATGGCACGCGCAAACGGAGGTTAGTAAACGGAAATACTAATTTATCTGGTTGTGTAATATCTTTATTTGGCTGTATGTTATCCCCAGCCATTGTGAATTAAATAATCGATCCATTCTATCAACCGATTCTAGACAAGTACCCCAAACTATACCAAACACGACTCAAACTACCGTATGTAACCAGAAACGTCACATATCACATCAAGATTACAGGACCACCTGTATTTTCGAAAGTGCGTTGATGAGCTCTCGAAAAGCTAAGATTCACTAAAAAAGAATTCAATTGCATGATAGTTTTGGGATTCATTCGGCCATCAAACAGAGCATAGACATCTCTCTTGCATACAATCTTCAAAAAGCAGCAAAGATTGGCGCCGAAATGATGACTATGTTTACTGAGTACGAAAACCACTCTTGATTGTTACCCGTTGCCTCTCGCTCACGGTTCGACAGCTATCTAGAAAGATTCAGCTGTTGTCTTCAAAAATCGATTTGGTTAACGTGTATAAACAAATTCCCATGGCAGCCGGCGACATTCCCAAAACCGTTGTTATACCTCCTTTTGGACTCTACGAATTTTCACGCATGCCTTTCGGTTTAAGTAAACCTACACAGACTTTCCAGAGACTCACTGATGGTTGTTTTCTGGGTCTCAACTTCATACATGAGTATGTTGATGACTGATCGCAAGTCCGAACAAGGAACCTCATCTCCAGCATGTGGACCTTGTTTTCGAATGACTACGTAACCATATCATTACTGTAACCATTCTGAAATGTCAAATGGGAACAGACCCCCTAAGGTTTATCACACACACTATTGAAGGTTAAAGCATCCGCACTCTGAAAAACAAAGTGGCGACAGCCTATGAAGTTTCCACCGAAGGTTCGTACCAGATTGAGCGTTTCCCACGAGACACTTAACAAACTAATTTCGTGGAAATACAGATCTCATAAGTTTGGACGGCATTGCGATAAAGGCGTCTTCCACATTTAAAGAACGTATCGCCGAAGCAATATCATTCATACACCAGGACACCGAAGCACCCATTAGTATTGCAGTAGACTCATCATACACGCCAATTGAAGGAGTCTTACAACAATGGCTTTTCCACAAATGACAGCTTGTGACATACTTCTCGAGACAGTTGCTAGATACCAAGTCGAGGTATATCACTTTCGGTAGGAACTCCTAGTCGTGTATTGTGTTGTAAGGCAGTTTCAACACTTCGAAGAAGACCGAGAATTCACTTTGTTCGCAGACCACAGACTTCTTATGTCTCTAAGCTCGTCTTCCGACAAGTACTCCTCGCGAGAGTCTCAATAACTAGACAACATTTAGCAGTTTACTTCAGATATACTACACATTTACGGGGCAAACAGTGCAGTGACAGACTCCTTGTCTCTTATACATTCATAAAACAGTTTCTAAGGTATTAACCTACCTAAACTCGCCCAGCTTTAAAAATGAAACACCGATCTTCAGCACGTGTTATCTTCAACAACCCTGAAACCACGTATCAAACAAATGAGAACAAGTTAGAGAAGTTTATATAAGTGTTGTCTACTTCGTTATTAGTACTATCCTAATAATAGACACAATTCTAAAATTGGAGATTTTTCATGATGTAACTGCCTAATCTGTAAGATCTTACGTGGAAGTTAAGTAATTGTCTTCATCGACTCATCGTATTGTAACAATTACCAATATATGGTGGAGAACACATTCAGACTGAAGATAGAGCAATATATTTAATTTGAATGAACTATATAGGCTACACGAGAATGATCACGCCTGCAAGGCCGGACCATGCCATCAGATCAGTTGAATTAATTCTTCCGGTCTTCTCCATTGTCGGGTTTTTCTCTGCGCTAAATGTTGAATATCTGTTTTCCCAGTTGTCTCGTGTTCAGCTTTGAGGGTTGCATGGTTAGGGCCCAATGCCACTACGGGCCACATGTCGAATCTCATTTCCACTTATACTCAAATGGCTCTCCGAATTTTTTGAGTTTTTCAGATATTTCATGCACCTACATTAATTGTTACTTTAGATTTCCGATAGGGTATCGGCCTTACAAACTTCGAAGATTATCGAGGCTCACCTAAGGACATCATAACTCTTCAACTCTCATGGTTGATTTTGAATGATCGAAACCCTTTCTGTGGTTGAAAGCTTATAGAAAGTTGTTTCCCCAGAAGATCTGGTTACTAATCTCACACATACTCAACCGCTTTACTCAGACGTGGAATCGGGACTAATTCTCAAAGGCGTCAGGCTGCATTCCAGTGTTTTAGTAATTCAGCTTAAAATATTCTTCCTTGGTTTTGATGAAATTTTGTAGCGGCAAACAAGTCTTTAATATATGTAGTAGTCCCCAACATCGATGCTGACTTCATTATTTTTACTGTACATAGCTTATCTGGAGATGCTCAGTCCAGCATGCCCACCAGACCATATTTGAGTGCAGCCTGATGCACATCTCTTAAAACCTCAAGTCAGCTTGGATCAAATACATCTCAACTCGCCGTTCATTTTTGAATCATTTCTCTCATAAATTCTGGTTTTGGTGAATTCGGGGTCCTCAGTGAGAAGGTGTTTTACGGACTGTAAAGTCACAAAGTTATGAATATTCATGACATTCTAAACTTTTTCACAGTGTGAGTAAGTCCATTTTAATACAACAATTTGGATAGGGTGCAAAGCAATTGTACGAACGACTGGGAACAAACTCAATTTACGTAACACATTGCGTTACTAGATAAAAATTAGGCGGATTCAGCGAAGAAAATTTACTCTTCTAGGAAATCATTTGTTCAAGCTTAGATAAGTGTACAACCTTCCGTTCGTAATTTCAACACAATCAAGAAGCTAATCAGAATGACATGGGGACTGTCATTCTCGCTACCTTCGCAGATATAGTAAATATCATTTAACATTCCGCGCATCTCTAGCTTTTGTACTGCATGATTTGCGAGTTTAAGCATCGCAACGGCTAGTTACGCTACAGTCAGTTTGATTTTTAACTAATTCTACAGAAATCATATGCTTCTTGACCTTCATCAAACACTACTATCATAGTGAATAAATTTAGCAATATGAAAGCCAAGTATACTATCGGCAGATATTTAACTTTAAAGAGCTAACTATGCATAATGGAACTC